CTTGCTATAGATCTGCAGGGTGTTTGTTCCAGCTGGTAGCTTTTACTCAGTCTCCTGGAGTGAGCCTGTCCAGCCCAAATGTGTCCTTTGTGCAGGTATGGGCCCTGGCTGTTTTGGTCTAGAAGCCTGTAAAACTCAGTGTTCTCACTCATACCTCTCTAGACTGACCAAAGAGTGACCCAAGTTAAATAACTCTGAATTAAGCCTTTCTCCCCCCAGGGAAGGGTAGACACCAGACTGGAGGTGACAAACCAACACTTACCCATTGGCCACCTTATCTGGAAAAGCAAAACATTAAGGCCAGAAATGCGCAGAGATGTCTACATGCTTTAGAAGCATGTTTTATTCCCAAGGATCTCCTTGATCCTTTACGTCGGCAAAGGTCAGTATCTGATGCTTGAGGTGGTGGTTTAGTCAGGCAGAACATCTTCCACAAGTTCCTTTCCCTTTCCTTTGGAAATACTGGTCACGTATGAGTGAGACAGCACCAAACACTCCTCCCATTCCCTTGTGACAAAAAAAAGAGGAACAGAGCACAGAGGTAGCCTGGCCTCAACTCTTGCACAAAATTCATGTTTGCTGCCCTGTGCAATGGGTTTGACAAAGCACTGGCTGGGCTCTGCTGCGGAGGAAGCCAACCCTTGTAGATACCAAGGTTGTTCTCTGCACACTCTGTTTGTCTGCATTAGACCTGGGAATAACCCAGATTCTGTGCTGACCTAATTTGCCTTTGATCAGTACTTTGTTTCCTTTTAATCTCCTCTTGGATCTTTGCATTTTTCTTAGCATAGTGTCCAAATCAAAAGACAGAAGTTTTAAGAGATTCAAGTACACAGCTGGTTGTGAAATTGCTGGTGATGCTATTGAAATGTAATTTTATTAAAGATTAACTTAAAACCACTTACTCCAGTGATGATACTGCTTGTAGGTGAAAATTCCCTGGGCTCCCATCTGGGCTCTTTCTGCTAATGTGTGTAAACAAATTGCAACTTTCTTATTGGCAGAATGTGCCCACTGGCTTTTGTATTTTAAATTAAAGCACAGAAGAATTCCTGCATTCAGTTGATAAACTGGGGCAGTTGGAAAATCTAGGGCACTGGATATTTGTCATTTACCTTGTTTACTCTGACCTGCAACAAATACTAACAAATAATTTTATTTACAGATGGTAAATAAAATTTCTGTTAAAATTAAGGATATTCAATTTTGAGATACTTTAATTTCCCCTTCTAATGTCAGAAGGAAACACTTTTAAGTGTTTTAAGTGGTCTGCATGTCTTGTTCCCTATGCAATTTTGTGTGTCAGGTGTCTTCATCACCAGGGGCTTTATTTGGCCCTAAATCGAAGGGGTACATGGACCAGAGGTGCAGAATCACTTGTATGACTGGTAGCTAGCATGACTGGTAGCCATTCTGGCTTCTCTATATCCATATATCTAGTTTAGACCTAAAGCTACGCTTTTCAGAAATTAATGATGATGAAGAATAAAATGCTACAAGTACCAACCAAACAACAATAAGCTTTAAACGATCTGAAGGCTGATTTAGCCACATAATGAAAGCAAGCTTCCCAGGACAGGCACTAGAACGGGTACTTGCACCTACCAACACTTGCTACCACTTGCTTCCAACAGCACATGCAAAATTCTGCCTTTCTAAAACATTTCCAGGTTATAACACCTATTCACAAGATCACACTTAGGAGTTTCAGCTGTAAATAGTGAAGCATTTGCTTGGTTTCTTTTCTTCCCCACCTATGCTTTCTTTTTCTTAATCTCAGATTAATTATCATCTTCCCTTCTACTGTCAAATAATAACTGGATACAGAATAACAAGACTAGAATGCCCTGTCCATTTCAAGGCTTTCAGATTTGCAGTGCTTCTTTATGGGCTCAAATTTCATCCAGAGACATAAAATCTATTTGGCAAATAATCCATGACACAAGAGAAGGTGAGGCAGGAGCCTGCTACAGGTGCCTCTGACTTCCTGGTGCGAGTGTTCCTGCAATGAAATCAGTGTGAGCTGTGGTGTTGTCCTTAGGCTCCTGTAGGAACTGGCACCTCCTGCCTCTCCTGTGCCTTCTTGTCAGGCTGAGTGACAGTCCTCAGCGGGCAAGAGGACTCTAAGAGAAGCACAGCTCCATGCCTTGGATTAAAGGAGGATTGCTGAGCTTCTGGCTGACTTCTCCCTGCTCAGAGTATTTCCCAAGAGAAAAACTTCTTCCTGGCATGGCAGGTGGGTAAGAGACAATCATACTAATTCTCCTCTTACAGGAAGGGTAGGGGGGACAGGATATATTTGTTTGTAAAAGGGTGGATATTGTATGACATGCAGCAGAGCAAGAACCCTCTTCCTCTTTCTGTTCTGTTTTACTGACTCACTGTAGTGTAAAACATTGGTGAAGCTACTGAACCATTAGCTTAAAATAAAGGTGATGCTAAAATCGGATTGCGCTTAAACATAGCTGGTAACTTGGAATCAGTTCTTCAAACATCAGCTGCCTGCCCAGGACCTTGGCAGATTGTTCCACTCTCATGTTTGCCCCTTAATATTTATTGCCTTTTTCCTTCCACTTACAAAACCTGCCTTATTTATCCTCTGGCATTTCAAATACTAGCTTTAAAGAAGTAAGATGAAAAAATAAATAAATAAAATAGAAAACATAGACACTGGCATAAGATGAAAATCTAGAGAATTGTTTCTATCTTCTCTTAGCCATAAAAGCTCTTTCATGTCTTTCACAACATTTGAACCAAGTTTTTAAATGATTGGAAACTTCTTGCAGCTGCTCATCAGGTATTCCAAATCTTTTTCTTCTCTATGTAGATATTAAAAGCTGTATAAAATTGCATGTTGTTGAAAGGATCTCTGTTGTAGTTGATAGCCTGAAATGTATCTTTTCCCATCTTTTAGTTGTGATTCCCCCCCAGCTTCTCTTTCTCCTGTTTACCTGGCGTCAAGTTACCATGGTTACTGAAGTTTCTCTCCTCAGCCCCACGGCGAGAGGCCGGGTAGAGTAAAGAGAGGACCCCGCTGGCATTTCCAGCTGCTTGAAGTTTCTTTAGCCCAGGAAAGCACGGGGTTGGGAGAAGAGAACTCTTCTTTCCTACACGGAAGTTTGTAACTTTTTCCTGTCCCAGAATGCCTCTAAACTATGGAAGCTGAGAGGGCATGCTTACCTTGCCTTCCCTTTCTTTCCCCCCTGTGTTGCCAGGAAACCAAGCCCCCCCTCTCTCCCCTCTGCCCCTCTGTATAGAATACTCCCACACCTTTGTGGGCATTTGAAGAAGTTGGTGTCTGTTATTTTTTATCTTGGCGTGTGTAACCTTGATTTGTAGAAAGTTTGTAAAATGTACTAACTGAGAAAATAATTGGTTCCCTCTCTGATGTTCCCTCCCTCCGAGAAACCCTGTTAAAAGAGACCCCCCCAGACCCCAAATCCTTGGTCTCTCATCCTTTGGATTCCCCTTCACAGAAATAAACTGTGGAATGCAAACCAGAGAGAGAGTCCCCCCCTGATTTCTTTACTCGCTCTATAGACTTGGATTCTTGAAGAAAATCAGTGAACCCCACAAACATATGCTGGCTTGAAACTCGAGTGAAGAGAAACCTCATCACTGAGCTAGCCAGGCCACACTCGAGAAGATCGAGTCAGATCTCTAAAATAAATTTATTTTGGAGAAGGTGTTCAATCTGACCTTATTTGCAGGACTGCATGTGACCCATTTGCAATACCTGTTTTTCTTGCTCTGGCACTGTTTACTTGGTCACATTATTTGCCACTGAGCTTTAATTCTCTTCATGTCTTGAGTAATTTCTGATTTATAGCAATAAAGTCTTCTTGGAGCATTGTTTTGAGTAGAATGAAGAATAAAATGCAGATGTTAGATTATTTTGCTGTAAGCACACTGCTGGTGCATCAGTTGCTATTGCAAAGAGCCTCTCCCAGGTTTTCCCAGCTCTTAAAAGTGCAGACTGAGTGTTGTTACTGGGGTGGTGCTTTGCTCATCCAAACAAGCACATCCAAACAAGGTTCCAACTGAACAAAATCCAGTTGGCCAGACTTCTCACACAGAAGTAATTAATTCTATGTGAAAGCATAAATCTAACAACTCAGAGCTTTCACCCCAGGGAATAGATTGAGAATTGATGATAAAAATCTCTGTTTTGAGTCACCGATGTCATTGAGTTGAAAACCAGGGAGAAAATACCCAATACTGTTTTCCAGGACAACCTTACCTACATGCATGGTGTGTCATGGATTTGCATGAAGGTGTTGGGCATCTTCTCATTGAAGTTGTCTCACCTTGTATGTGTAAGCTAAGTTTATGGCCCTTCTTAAAGAAATACCACCCAGAAAGAGTTTTTATAAGATGACTGTGTAAGTTACTAGACAAGTATTTTACTTTGGCAAGGGTATATTTTTTCTAGTCTTCAGTTACAGCATAAACAGATGTTTGGAAACTATCTGTTCCAAAGTCCAAAATCCATCCATCTGTTTGGAAACTAAAGGGACAACAAAAAAGGAAAGGAAAAGTCCATGATGATATTGTGGTAACACCTAGCAGAGATAAAGGAGACTAAAGGCTTTTACTTTGTAAAATTTAGTGATTTCAGTTTTGGGACAAGTTTCCTGAATGCAGGAATACGTTTAGTAGAAGTATATTTATTGAACAAAAATGAGGATTGAAATATGTAGGTACACTCTTGCTGTAACCCTCTCCTGAGCAGACACCTTGAACTCATGTGATACTTCATATTTTTAAAGGAGGAACAGTCAAACAGAGCCCTACAATGCTTTATAAACACAGGACAAATCTGCCAAGAGCAGACCGAGAGCAAGTGGGTATTAAAGAGAAGACAGATATCTCCTAGATAGGTGAGTGTTATGAAAATACACAAATATAAAAAAAGATGTATATAAAATACTGTATCTGTGGAACAAAATGTTATAATAAAACCCAAGTGACACCCTCCCTAATGTTCCACATACCTTGGATGTTCAGCAGGCAGCAGTCCTCTTTACCAGCAGTAGTTCCTTCCAAAGTAAAAACTCTATTAAACATAATATGATGGTTCTCAAACAGACAAGATAAGCTGATGCAGAGGAGCAGACAGCAGGAGGGTCCAGAATGCAGCACAAAAGCGATACAATAAAATTAGGACCGTCCAAGGTAAAGGCTTGAAGTTTGAGAAACATCTCCAGTACTGTTCTTTGAACTCATCAGTCCTGTCCTTGGGCCTTCAGCTGAGCTGCTGAAGTGAGTAGTTTTCTGTTTGGTATTGGTTTGTAAGCTTTTTTGAGAAGGGCTTGCTCTCTGTAAGACTCCAGGAAGAATTTGGAAGTATGGCTGGAAATAAATAAAACTGGTGCTGTTGGTAGCTTCTGAAGCAGCTCCCTGGGATGTTGAGCAGAGGCCTTGTTTGGGCTGCCCAGCCAGCGTTGATGATGTGATACCACAAGCCCCACTTATGTACAAGCAGAGCCTGGGGTTTGGGCAGGGACTGAATGAAGTTCCTCTGTGACAACCTCCTTCTTCTCCACTGTCAGATCCATGCAAGTACCTGTTCCAGGCACAAATCTTCCTTCACATTCTTGTTTAACCCTGGCAACGAACATATCCTTTGGCTCTTATACACTAGAACTTTTAATCCTTTTCCTCTTTTAAGGTATTGACACCTGTTCAAGCCTAATTAAAAATTTAAGTGATCTTTTAGGTTTCCCACCCACAGCTATCCCAGAGTACCAGTGAGCCCGAGGGAAAATGGACTGTCAGTGCCTCCAGCATCGCTCAGGAACACAGCAGCTCAGATCCAGAGTTACAGGCAGGCTGAGGTGTGGCAGCTGCCCTAGTTACAGTTATCTGCCCTGCCCTCTTGCCCTTGCCACAATCTTTGTTTGCTCTTTCTGCTAGAGAGCATGGAATTTGCCACTGGCAGGAGGATGCAGCGAGTTATCTCCATCCTGGCCAGAACAGAAGGAGAAAATGTAACACTAATCAGAGGTTTTGAGCTGGGCTTGAAGGTGCCTTGGTTCAGTCTGGGAGAACCAGTTATTAAAATCATGGCAAGTTGCCCCAAGAGCTATTTGAAAGAAATGTCAATTGTTAAGAGATTTCTGTACTTCTTTTCTGGAAAACATCTCTTTTGGAGAAGAATTCAAAATTTTCAAGCAGTTATTCTCTGGGCTTTGATGCATGTGCTGCTTTGTAACTGATTCCACTGTCAGTCATTTAAAGGTAAATCCACTTCTCTTTTTCTCCACTCTGTTGTCTTGATCCCCTCTTAGTGTGGACATAATGTACTTGAAACTGGAGCTATCTCTGGGTGCTTCATCACAACAACAACTGTCATGGTGGTGTTGGCCAACACTGGACAAATGCCAGGCACCCACAGGAGTCATTCACTCGCCCTACCCTGCCACAGTTGGGCAGAGGAAAGAAAAAAAATTAATGAAGGGTTCATGTGTTGAGATAAGGACCAGGAGAAAATACTCCAAGGGCAAAATAGGCTTAGCTTAAAAGTGCAAAGTGAATTTAATACTAACAGAATCAGAGGAGGATAATGAGAAGTAAAATAAGCCATTAAAAATATTTCTCCCAGCTCCTCCCTCCTTCCCACCAAGGATGCAGAGAGACAGGGTATGGGAGTTTGGTCAGTTTGTCACCCAAGATCATCTTCCACTGCTCTGGGAGAGAAGTCCTTCCCGTGAAGGGAAGTGAGATCGTGGGGTTCCTTCCCACGGGAGACAGCTCTCTGTGAACTTCTCCAGTGTGACTAGAATGTCATGAGCAGCAGTCCTGCCAAAACTGCTGTGACGTAGGTCTCTCTTTCCATAAGGTGCAGTCCTCCAAGGACAGGTTGCTCCAGCCTGGAAGCAGGTCCCCCTCTCTCCACTGGGTCTCCCACTGGATCACAGCCTCCTCCAGGCATCCACCTGCTCTGGCATGAGCACCTCCCCCAGGGGCTGTGGGTGGATCTCTGCATCCCCCGTAGATCCCCATGGGCTGCAGGGGAACAGCTGCTTCACCATGGTCTCACCACAGCCTGCAGAGGAACCCCAGCTCTGGCTCCTGGAGCAACTCCTTCCCCTCTTCTCCATGACCTTGGTGTCTCCATGTTGTTTCCCTCACATGTTCTCACTTCCTCCTCTTCTCTGACTAGGAAAAGAACTGTGCCCACTTTGTGTTTATTTTCTTCTTAAATTTGTTATCACAGAGGTGTTACCATCACCTCTCATTGGCCCAGGCTTGGCCAGCAGCATTTTCATCTTCAGAGCCATCAGGGATTGGCTCTGCTGGACACAGAAGAAGCTTCTAGCAACTTCCCACAGAAGCCACCTCTGTGCTCCCCCCACCACTACCAAAAACCAGGCCATGCAAAAGCAACACACAGCCCTTCCTAAATCTTCTTGATAGACAAATGCACAGACTTCTGAAAACTGTACACTAATATGCAGGACAGGACTCCATTAAAAATAAGGGAAGGAGAAGCTTGGGCAGGTATGTGTATCAGAGATAAGTGCATGAGGGATTTTTATTGAATGAAGACATGGTGTTTAGAGCCTTACTTGCCCTTTGTCACCACTGCCTTTATGCTGGGATAATCACATGGCAAAGGAAAACATTCTGTGTGGAATCTTGCTTGAAGGAAAAAGGGAAGAGTTTATAAGATCGCTGCTAGAAAAGCATTGTAGAGAGAATTTTTTGCTTCCTGTTCTGTTGGCAGTGTTGCTGCACGCTGGTAACAATTTCCTGCTTACCTCTGGTTTGTGTGCAGAATCCTCGAGAATGAAACATCACCATCTTCCTTTTCATTTAATTGAATGGAAAACCACAAGAAGACTTATCAACAAGAACTTTGTTGTCTGACAATCTAAAGGAAGGCTCAGGTTTCCTTACAGGTTACCTGCATTCTTTAAAAAGAAATGTGTACCTTTTCTGCATTGTGCTTTTTGCAGTGGCACTGATAGGAAGGCATGGGGAGAAAGAGAAACTTGATGACAGGCTGATATCCAGAGTATGGAGTGGCATTAGAATACTCTAGAAGTGACTTGCAGAAATAACAGCACGTGCCTTTTTTTAACACATGTATTCCTCTGTATTTCTTGACAGGAAGGCCTTTCATGAACTTTCTACGCTTTTCAATGAGATGTGGGATGCAGATGTTCACTGCCTTAGGCCTGGGAAAGAGTACACAATTGATGTGCAGGTAACCAATTGCCAAGTCAGGATTAAGGGCAGTGTGGTGCTGCAGGAAAATGTACCTCCAAAAGTGCCTTTTGCTCAAAAAGTTGTCTGCTTTGTCATGTCTAGTGAGGAAAGCACCCCTTAGGAGAGAGGAACGGTACAGAGAGCACAAATGGTTCACACTTACCTGGACTTTGATTACAAGTGGAGTCTCTCAGGTGTTAGTCTTGGGTCCTGTAATATTTAATCTCTCTATCTGTGAGCTGGAGGAGGAACTAGCTTGCAACCCTTCCAGTTTTGCAGATGACAGTAAACTGCGGTGATGAAGTTGGTGTGCTCAGGTGCAGGGCTTTTCTCTTCCACTGGACATAGGCAGGCTGGAGCAATATGCTAAGGAAGGAAGACCATGAAATTCAACAAAGACAAAGGAATAGGATCCCCAGAGAAGCTGTGAAATCTCCATCACTGGCTGTTTTCAAGACCCAACAAGATGACACCCTGAGAAACAGAGTCTGAATTCAATGTTAACCACACTTTGACCAGCACTAGAGATGTCCTGTGTGTTTCGGCATGTGAATGACAGCTTGTGTGTGTGTGTGTGGTCTGGGTGACTTGCAGCAAGAGAGAAAGGGAGATAGGTTCCAGGTCCTTCTAAGGGGAATAAGGGAGGAATTTGAGAAATTCCTGTGTTTCTCTGGAAGAACAGGGAATAGCACAGAGGGGTGAGTGAAGAAGATTTCATGACTGTTGTTTTCAGTCCAAGGGAAATGTGAGGGAGGAGTGAGAGATTTCATAAGCAGCCATTTCACTCCTTGCTAGCCCAATGCAGTGCAAACATGACCATGTGTTTTAGCCACAAATTGCAACAAGCCAGAATATTCACAGTCTAGTTTTGTACTCACTCAAGAACTTACTTTATTCTGATGTCACTCAAACACTTTAATCCAATGTTGCTTCATATTATAACAGATAATTTCCTATTGCTGATAAATTCAAAATAGTGGTACCTACCCCAAGCCAAAATGTGTCTGGGGAAAACTTCTCCCATATGGTTTCTCCATTCCTCAGAACAAGGCTCTAGGTACCCCTTGCCCATGTTAATAAACTCATCTTCTATCTTCTTTCCTTGAGACTGCCCCTTATGAAAAAGAAATTTGAAAATTATCAAGAAAGTCTCCTTAAAACTGCAGAGAGAGAAGGTACTCAAATCTCCTTTTTATTTATTTGTGGCGGGAGGGATCCATTGCTCTACATTACTTCTGTTTACCATCTGTGATGTATATAGTATAATAGCACAGCTGGTTACTGAGCAGAAATGGACTGTCACATGGGCCATTACAATCATCTCTGAGTCAACAGAGAAATTACAGGCTCTTACAGTTGTCAGAGATTGTCTTTTTTCTTTATGCTGGCAGTTCTGTAATATCTTCTCTTGTTTCATAGGAAGAAAATTCCTAGCAAAGAATCCTGATAGCATTATGGGGTTTGGTTTGATTATTACAATGGCAGGCACTGTCTTATCTAAGGCCAGACATCTTACTCCTTACATTGCTTTCCTCTGGTGTTTTTCCTAGGGAAAAGCAGGTCCAGCACAGCAAGGTGACAGTGCTGTCCAGGACAATGCAGCCAGACATCTGTTTCACAATGTAAATGAAGAATGTCTGAGGAGCATAAAAACTTTTGCAAGTGAGACCTGTTCTTTTGTTAATGGCGGAAGTGATATAAAAAAAATCTGTGCTGTTTTTGATGTGTTTGCCTAAAATATAACATTGCATATCATTTGGATGGTGGTGAGGATCATCAGGCTGCAGGTCATTTGAAGGAAGTTTTCGTAACAGTTGCTTTGAGATTACCTGTACCTGAGCCTCAGGAATAACATCATTTTGTGCCTTAGGCAAAATCTGAATCCTCTGGCTCTTCTACTACAAAGTAAAGGGGATGAGACACTTACCACAAGCTCGAGTAGCAGCCCAACAGAATCTCACAGCATTTTTCCAGACCAAGTGCTGCTGCTGCACCTGGGTCAGGACAACCCCTGGGATCAATCCAGGCTGGGAATGGGCAGAGGGAGCAGCCCTGGGAGAAGGGGTACTGTGGGTGAGAGCTGGACATGCCCCAACTCAGAACCCCCCTGTGCTGGGCTGCACCCAGAGCCCCAGGACAGCAGGGGAGGGAGATTCTGCCCCTCTGCCCGGCTCTGCTGAGCCCCCCCTGCAGGGCTGCATCCAGCCCTGGGCCCTGCACAGGAAGGACAGGGAGCTGCTGCAGCCAGGCCAGAGCAGGGACACCAAGGGCATCAGAGGGATGGAGCAGCTCTGCTGGGAGGAAAGGCTGAGGGAACAATTGGGATTGTTCAGCCTGGGGAAGAGAAGGCTTTGGGGTGACCTCATTGTGGCCTTGCAGTGCCTGAAGGGAACGCACAGGAAAGACGGAGAGAGACTCTTGACAAGGGCCTGGAGTGACAGGACAAGGGGGAATGGGCTTACACTGGTGGAGAGCAGGTTAAGATTAGAGTTTAGAAAGAAATTGTTTCCTGTGAGGGCAGTTGAAACACATTGGTGAACAGTTTGTCCAGAGAAGCTGTGGCTGCCCCATCGCTGGCAGTGTCCAAGGCCAGGTTGGATTGGACTCTGATCAACCTGGGATAGTGGAAGGTGTTCCTGCCCATGGCAGGAATGAACTGGATGATCTTTAAGGTCTCTTCCAACTCAAACCATCCTATGATTCTATGTATTGAAAAAGACACCAAATTAATCTTAACTCCTTTACTCACAGCTTCCAAGCCCTTTCAGATAGGACTAGACCCACAGCTAGGTCTTGCATTTCTGTTGGGTGCAATACTTCAGCCATGTCTATGAATGTTTCCTTCCCTAATTTTTCTCAAGCTCAAGACATCTGATAAAGGTCTATGCTCTATTATTACTCTTCTGAAATAACGCCCACAAAACCTTTTCCCAGCATAGCTCAAGGTCCTAATCCTGTTATCTGTAATTGTGGTGGGCAGATGTAATTTGTTTTGGTAGAAGGTCATTATTACTTCAGCACCTGGCTCCATAAGGAAGCTCAGTAGCTGGTTTTCTTTAAAAAGATCTTTAAAAAGTGCAGCAGTGATCTGGCCTTGAGTCACCTTGAGGCCTACTCTTAACAGTATACCTGAGAGTAGAATCTGACATATAAAGGAATGGCTTTCTCTAAGGGCCATCATGGCGTATTCTATGGTGACTTTTTATGATGGCACTCTAATGCTTGGATCAGGCATATGAGCAGACTGAAAGTTTCTCTTTTTCTGCAGCCTTTATTTCCTTATTGGACAATTATAAGACATAAACTGGTGTAGCAGAAGTAGTGACTCCAGAACAAATAGTTGAAAACAATTGTTTCCTTGATGTCATCTTAGCAACAGAAGTCATGAGAGTGAGTAACACAGATATTTTTTGTCACTGAAAACACTGAATAAAAAAGTAAATTGTGTACGTATCTTGGTTTTCTATCCTTCAGCTAGCTCATGACTATCTGTTGAAAAAGCTAGCAAAGCCAAACCTTGCTGATTTCAAACATCAGCTTTATGACATCTAGTTCCAACTCTATGCCAGGAAAGAAGGAGACAGGTATGTTTGATGGGTATGGGCACTGATAATCTCTGCTATTCTGATTTAGATAAATATAAGCCCAAGTACCATCTGCTACACACAGAACAGGAACACAGCTTCAGAATGGCTTCAGACTGACAGAGAATGGGTTTAGATTGGGTATGAGGAAGAAATTGTTCCCTGTGAGGGTGGTGAGGCCCTGGCACAGGTTGCCCCATCCCTGGAAGTGTCCAGAGCCAGGTTGGATGGGGCTCTGAGCAATCTGGGATAGTGGAAGGTGTCCCTGCCCATGGCAGGGGATTGGAATGAGATGAGCTTTAACATCCCTTTCAACCCAAACCATTCTATGGCTCTATGAAACATATAAAAGACCTATATATTCTTTTTTCTTTTTTTCTTCTTCCTTACAGACCTGATTCTTGTGGTTTTGAACATGTTTTTGTTGAAGAAACAAGGTATAGTAAAGAGATCTTAGGTTTGCACAACTGGGTGCAATTTTACCTTTAGGAAAAGTGCAACCAGACTGATTACAAGGGATGTGGCTTGGAAGAAGAAAACCAGGAGAAGAACAAGCCTTTGGCAGCCTCTGCAAGTAAGACAAATGGATCCAGAGATAAAAGTTGTAATGAAACAAGTTTAATGATGCAATCACAGGCTCAGTGTTTTGAACAGTAATAAGTAAATACAGTACATAACTGTATGTAAGAATGAATAATAACATGTCTTCCAGCTTCTTTTCTTGAAAAAACTATTTTAAAAAGTAGTGCTGCTGTTTACAGAACTGCAATACTGCTAAGGCTAGTTAGGATAAATGATCACATATGCTCCAGAACTCAGGGAAAAGATTGTACTCCAGCTATATCACCCAGGTACATCAAGGATATCTGAATCTTAAAAAGCTCTCAAAAATCTGGAATCATAAATTCTATCTGCCCCATCACAGCTGTGCTGGAGATTGTTGTTGTTTCATTTATGCTTTCAGCCTGACAAAGATGACCAAGTTTTGAGCATCCAGTTTGGCTGGAAGGGCTCAGTCAAGCCAGTTGGAAGCACCTTTATTGGTGTCAGCCCAGAGTTCAAATTTGCCCTTTACACAGTCATTTTCCTGCTATCTGAAGAAAGAGCCACATGTGAAACAGTCAAGAGCTACAGATGGTTGTCTGGCACCGTGGGCACCACATTGGAACAGTATATCCAGTACTGCTCAGCACCACTAGTGAAGAGTAGTGGAGTGAGCAGGAAACTTTTTTTTAAACTGGGGGAAAGAAGGAGTGGTGGAGAGAGGAGGAATGGATGGGGGGGTGGACAGGACAAGACAGCAAAGTTAATATGTTGTTTTATACAACTCATTTCAAGTAAAAATTGATGACTCTGTCTCTTTTGGTCTGCAATGGAATGTTTAATCAGTAGTGTGCTGTGACACTGAGAAACCATGAAACATACTCCTGTTCACATTAAATCTACATCTAAATTACATCAGTCTTCTCTTGTGCATGTACTTTTCAGCAAATTATAACATTTAGGAAAAAGGTATTAAAGTTTATATACATATTTCTCATATTTGTTAGTCACTGCATATCTAAAAGAGCAATAAACACACATTGCTTACACTTTACCTTCCAGACAGAAGTTTGATTTGGCACAAGCAGAACTCCAGGATGTTTTAGTCTCCTTTTCTCATTTCATAAGAGGTTAATTTCAAATGCATTATTACAATACAATGACCTGGACACACAGGGAACACATTTAGGTGGGGAGATGGTCATTAGATCCACAGTGGGCCTTAAAATATTTTCTGTTACTTAACACAATTTTCATATATTCCCTATGTATTCCTGAAACACCTGGATGACAAGTTCATGATACAGGTACTAAGAGGGCCGACTCAGAAAGATGCACTCCTGGATTTGCTGCTTATCAACAGAGAGGATCTTGTGATCCTCTTGGGTGAAGATTGGTGGTTGTCTTGCCACTGTGACCATGAAGCCATCAAGTTTAAAATCTCTGGTACAACACTGGACATGAAAAGAGCAGAATTCAGGCCGCTCAGGGAACCAGTAAGTAAAGTCCCCTGGGAAAATGCTTTTGAAGGTCCTGGGGTTCATCAGTGCTGGTCACTTTTTAAGCATCAGCTCCTGAGGGCACAGGAACAGGCAATTCCTAAAAATCAGAAATCAAGAAGATGAGGCAGAATGCCACTTTGGCTGAACAGGGATCTTCTTTTATAGATAAGGTAAAAAAGGAAGGTGTACGCCCAGTGGAAGCAAGGTCAGGTGATGTGGAAGTAATACAGAGATGCTGCTCACCACTGTAGGGGGAGAATTTGTGTGGCCAAAGCTCCATTGCAATTGAAGCCACTAGGAATGTGGGGCACAATAAAAAGAGGGTTTTAAAAATACATTAATGGCAAAAGGCAGTGCTAAAATGATATCAGCCCATTAAAGGATGAGGATGGTCACTTCACAAACAGGGCTATGGACAAGGTAGAGATGTTTAATGCTTTCTTTGCATCTGTCTTCAACACTGATGATGGACTAAGGAGGTCCCTGCACCCTGAGCTACAGGACTGACTGTGAGAATAATTAACTGAGTTAGCCCTGAAGGTGTGAGGGATCTACTGCTCTAGCTGGATGCCTGTAAATCTATGGTGTGTGATGGGATTAATCTGAGAATACATAAAGAACTGGCTGATACCATCATGAGGCATCTCTTGATAATTTTTGAACAGTTTTGGGAATCTGGAGAGGTCCCAGTTTTCAAAGAGGGCAAGAAGGATGACCCTGGAAGCTACAGGCCTGTCAGTCTCACTCCAGTGCCTGGTAAAATTATGGAGATGATGATGATTATTCTGGGATGTATTGAGAAACCTGAAGGACAACACAATCATTGGTCACAGCCAGCACATCTTCATGACAGCAAAGTCCTGCTTATCAAAACTAATTTCCTTTTATGCTAAGGTAATCCAGTTGATCAAAAAACATCAGTAGATGTAATCTTTTTGGATTTCAGTAAGGCTTTGGACATCATCTATCTCAGTGTGCAGCCCACAGCTGGATAAACACATTGTGTGATGGGCAAGGCTCAAGCACAAAGAATTACAGTAACTAGGGTGACAGTAGACTGGTAGCCTGTAGCTTGTGGGGCTCCACAGGGTGCCATATTAAGTAAGCTTGCTGATGATACAAAAGGAGAGGAGCTGTTGACTGCCTTAAGTGTGAAGAGGCCCTGCAGAGTGCCCTGTATCAATGACAGGGCTGGGCAATCACCAACTGTGCAAAGTTTAACAAAGACAAGGGCTGGATTCTGTACCTGGGATGGGACAGCCCTGGATGTACAGACAGACTGGGGAATGAGAGGTTGGAGAGCAGTGCTGTGTATAGAGACCTAGGGTCCTGTCCTGGTTGATGGCCAGCTGGACATGAGCCAGCGTCCTGGCAGCCAGGTGGGTCATGCCTATCCTGAGGGCACCAGGCCTGCATCGCCAACCAGGCCAGCAAGGGGATTGTCCTGCTCTGCTCTGGGCAGGGATGGCCTCACCTTGAATATTGTGTGTTGTTTTGGGTGCTACATTCAAGAATAATCTGAAGCTGTTAGAGAGCATCGAAAGTAGGGTTACAGAGATGGTAAAAGGCCTGGAGGTGAAGCCACACGAGGAGAAGCTGAGGGCACTTGGTCTGTTCATCTGGAGAAAAGCAGACTGAGTTCAGAGCTCACAGCAGTTCTGCAGCTTCCTCATGAGGGGAAGAGGAGGGACAGGCCCTGATCTCTGCTCTGCGTGACCAGGGACAGGACCTGAAGGAATGGCAGGAGCTGGGTCAAGGGAGAGATAGGGTGGATATCAGGAAAAGGTTCCTCCCACAGAGGGTGGTGGGGGAACTGAACAGGCTCCCCACAGATTGGTCATGGCCCCAAGGATAACAATCTCGTGCATATCATGATCGTTGGAGTGTCTTACCCCCTAGCAGGGCCAGGGGTAAGGTCTATGATGATTGTGGGTCCCTTCCAACACAGAATATTCTGTGAAAATTAAAAATGCCACAGAGAGCAAGCCAAGGGTCCTTACAGCTCCTGAAACATCACAAGGGGCTGCTCAGGCCGGGATCCACAGGAGGAGCCATTGGAGAAAACCAAGAGAGGACCAGCTGAGGGATGCTGAAGAACAAGTTCAACCTCCCTTGCAGCAAGAGGTCTCCTGAGGGACAGCAAGAGAGGCTGAACTCAGGTTCTGCTGTAAATTTGAAACTCAAAGGATCGGAGGCAGAGATCAGAAATGGTACAAAACCACAGAGCTGCCACGCAGAACACCTGCTCTGGGATCTAGAAACCAACTCTGGAGAATGTCAAAGGCACTCGGTTTCCTTCAGTCTGGTGAACATCTCTGCAGCCAAGGGCCCTCAGGTCACACTGCACGCCTTGACAACTCTTCAGAGTCCCGTTTCATCTTTGTGTAGGTGGCAGGGCAGAACTGGGAATAGAGCTGAGCCAGCAGAGCCTGGGAGGGGATCTCTAACTTGGTCCCATGGCTCAGTTTGTTCCATACGTGCACTGCATAGGTGTTCTTCAGGAGTTTGCGAAGCTCCAAGGCACTGACTGGCTCAAACAATTTCTTCCAGTCCTGCCAGGGAACGGGATAAACAACTTCTGGGGCAAGAGCACTCACACCTTTGCAGCTCATGCTCTTGACAGTCTGGATGGAGCACCACTTCTTGAAGACACGAGTTAGGAGCTCTGGGCCCTGGTGGCCCCAGACCCAGCCATTGTAATTCTGCACAAAGTCCTGCATGCAAAGATCCATGAACTTGTGTTTGGGCTTAAAGGACAGAAAGGCCCCATTCAGTTCA